CAGTTCTTACACATTGTTCTGCAATAAATCCTTGTTCACTAATTTTCAGGCCAGTCTCCTACTAAACGCTTTCATATAATCTTAAGTGTACAACTCCTTTATCAGTGCTCACCATAATCTCATTTATTTACTGTTTTCTGCCTGATGATTAAGTCTATGACCCCAAGAATCTTTACATTTATTTTGCCACTATATCCTACACTCAAACACAATGCGAACAGGCATATGGTATAAATTTAGTATTTGGTGATAAAATGACTTCTAGTTTCCAACCTTCACATGTTACTTCTTAAAGATTTAACCATTCAGACCTAGAGTTTGAGAATAAGGAATATTTAATCAAGTAGAAAATCTGTTCTAATTAAGATGCATAGTACTGTTCTCATTATGTTGTTATATATCAGGAACTCTACTATAGAAGGATGTGCTTCCCAACACATTTCTGCAGGCTTGAACTACTAGTGGAACATGCAAAACTGTCCTATCACATGGCTATCACCAAATGGGACTACTCAAGCCACCCAGTGGGACAATCATATTTACCACCAATGGTTCAGAGCTATCCATCAACAATGTATAGCACCTTTGTAAACATATTGAAGTCCACAACCAAAACATTTTTAATCTGTTAAGAACAAAGTATACTAGGGAGAAGGTAAGTACTCAACCCCAAATGGTCTCAAAAAACAATTTCTGAAATTTCTGGTTTCTTATTTTTTATGAATTTTATACTAAGTATATTTATTTAAATATGCAAATATTTCTTTTTCCCAGATAGTATAACATATACTCCAAAAGAAGGTGCTATTTTAATATAATGTTGAGTGAAATAAACCAAGCACATAAGCTTAAATGCTGTGTTGTATCTCTCATTTTGGCAAAGGACATATAAAGAGAACAATAAAGTAGATAGAAAGGAAAATAGGACTACTCCTCCAATAGGGAAGTGGTCCAAGGGAGCAAGGGAGAGGGATGAGGAGGGGAAGTAAGAAGAATAAAGATGTGCCATGTACAGAAACCTAATGACCCCAAATCAACATAAACTTTATATGCCACAACATGAGCTAAGACAAATTATACCAAAGATAAAAAAGGATTTGGGGAACTAGGAAAGTAGGGAAGAGAAGATGGAGAACCAGAGGAAGAGGGAAGAGAGGAAGAGAGGGAAGGGGAAGGGGAATTTTTTAAAAACGCTGTAATAAGTACACGCAAACCACTCTCCAGGATAACTGTATGCTGTGCAAACTGCAAACATGTACTAAAAAAACCCAAAGTTGTTTAATCCTATGGTTTATAATAGTTCCTTGCACACCACTAAACTCAGGTGTGCAAGGATGATAGGAAAAACAAGAATACACATACTCATCCTTCATTTCTTAGTTTTCACAATAAACCACAGTTATAAACCTAACTAAAAAAGAATTTAGAAGTAAAAAGTCCAACGTAACATCTGAAGAATTCAACTTTAATACACATATGATCCTAACTCAAACAAGCCAAAAAGTTGCTGAAGACTTAACTGGCTTTTAGCTGAGTGTGGTAGTGCACCCTTGTAATTCCAGCACTTGGAGGGCTGAGGAAGCTGGATACCTTGTGAGTTCAAGACCAGTCTGGGCTACAAAGTGAGCTCAAGGCCAGCCTGAACTACATAGCAAGACCCTGTCTCAAAAAGAGGGAAAAAAAGTACTGGCTTTTAAATTAAACAAAAGCTATGAAATTATGTAACACAAATGGAATTATGTACTGGATGGATAGCTATAAGCTGAGTTCTCCGATTATCTGATAGAAGAAAATACAGAAGATCAACAAATAAACTGGAATTGAAGTAAGTCACAGCAAATGATTTAAAACTTAAGCAGCATGAATGGCTGCCAAGTTGGTGAATACACCTGGGACAGCTGCTCCCATGTGATGAGTTGCTTAAAGAATACTCTGAATGTGATAGTCACTAACTGTATATAATTTTAAAGTACACTATGTTTAACATCAGTTTGAAGTTTGTGTTTATTATCTCAACAAAATAAATATAGTTTTAAGCCACTTTAGTGGGGGAGTACGCCTTATGGTACAACCAATTAGTCACATAACAAGAGATGTGAATATTTTCATCTCCTCTAGTAAAAGAAGACAGACCTCTTTCCTATCTTACAAGATGGCAGGTGAAAAAACTGAGAAGTCAGACACTAAAGAGAAGAAACGGAAAGCCAAGAAGACTTCTGCTAGTGGTACTGGTAAAAAGGGTAAGGTGAAGAAAGCAAAAAAGTCCAAAAAGGGACAGACCCACTACAGCTGAAATCCTGTCCTGGTTAGAGGAATTGGTAGATACTCCCAATTTGCTATGTATTACAGAAAGGCTTGGTACAAGAAAATTTACCTAGCTGCTAAATCAAAGGTTGAGAAGAAAAAGGAGAAAGCTCTTGCGACAATCACAAAACCAGTTGGTGGGGACAAGAATGGAGGTACCTGGGTGGTTGAGCTTCAAAAAATGCCTAGATACTACCCTATTGAAGATGTGCCCCCAAAGCTCTTGAGCCATGGAAAGAAACCCTTCAGTCAGCATGTGAGGAAACTTCAAGCTAGCGTCACTCCCGACACCATCTTGATCATCCTCACCGGGCGTCACAGAGGCAAGAGAGTGGGCTTCCTCAGGCAGCTGGCCAGTAGCTTGCTACTTGGGCTAGCCTTAATCGTGTTCCTCTACAAAGAACACAGCAGAATTGTCACTGCCACTTCTGCAAAAATTGGTATCAGCAAAGTGAAATTCCCTGAGCACCTCACTGATGCTTACTTTAAGAAGCTGCAGAAACCCAGACATCAGGAGGGCAAGATCTTTGACACTGAGAAAGAGAGATACCAGATTTCAGAGCAGCACAAGGCGGATCAGAAAGAGGTGGACTCACAGATTTTAGCAAAAATCAAAGCTGTTCCTCAGCTCTGGGACTACCTGTGATCTGTTTTTGCTCTGACAAATGGAATTTATCCTCACAAATTAGTGTTCTAAATCTCTTACTAAGAACCTAATTAAATAACTGATACATTAAAAAAAAAAAACATATACCCTACCCACTATTACAAAATGAAAACGGCTAACAAATACCATAAATATAAAAACAATACTTCACTGATTGCTATAAAAATATTATTACAGGACCAGGCTATAATGTAGTGGCACAGTACTTGCCTGGCAAGTATGAGGTGGCAAGTTCCATTCTCAGTACAAAAAAAAAAAAAAAAAATTATTGCTGGGCTGGGGCTGTAACTCAGTAGCACACCTAGCAAGTGTGAGGTCTTGAGTTTGAGTCCCATTACCAAAAATAAATAATAAATATTACCTTTATACAGACATATCTGTACATAGGTATATAATTTCACTATAGTTTATGTACAACAGGAATTTGGCTCATCTCAAAAAGATTTACATTAACTATTTACAAACCTCTTCCCCTTGATTTATTTGTTCCTTTGTTCTTTCTTTTGTCTCCATAATGTATGAATAGTCTTCCTTCATCTGTTCAAGTTGTGTTGCTTTCATGAAGAACTGTTATCACCAAGAAAAACACAATTAAGAGCCTATACAATTACAAAGAACTGTGAAAACATAAAAAGACAACTTTATTCTGTGAAAACTTTTGAGGTCAGAACATAAAAAGATATTAAAAGCATAATCACATATAAATAACCACAAAAGAACACATCTTATTTTGTTTGTTGTTTTGTTTTCATTTGGTTTGAGGGGTTTTTTTTTTTTCTTTTTTTGTATTTTAGGGAAAGGTCTATAGGCTGTTGAGGGTCTCACTACTAGATCAGACTTGTAAAGATCCTCCTGTTTATAGCCTCCTAAGAGCTGGGATTACAGGTAAGCGCCACCTCACGCAGTCTCAAATGCCTTCTCAGCGTGCCCACGAGGCCAGCACAACAGGCTCGGTGATCAAACCCCTGTGCCTGCTCAGGGCACTTTAATCTGTTGAGCTATTTGGCTGGCCCTCAACACATCTTATTCTGGACGCAAAATGACTAAACCTGCTACACTTATTTTATGTGTTGATTTGTAAAACTTCTTTAAATCCTACAAAATGGAACACCTTTGAAAATGAGGGCAAAACAATTTTCAAGGTTCATTTTCAATAATTCTTTTAGTTTTTTTCCCAGCAAAAGCAACAGGAAACATTCACATCTTTGATCTTATTTTTTTAAAATAGGAAATAACAATATTCATACCAAAAGCTACATAATGGTTTAGTAGTAGCATTTAAAGGTTTTTAAAGTTTACAAGTTACTATACACGTACAAGAAATATTATCTTGTAGTTCCTTAAAGCTTAGTTTTAAAAGACAATCCATTTTTTTTTCAGCATTAAAGTCAACTGAAAACAAGTACAGGAAGTTCCTGACTTACAAGTGAGTTCAGTTCAGGGAGAACATTCATTAGTTAGATTGGTTCCTAAATCTGACAGTGAGTCTTACTCATTGTAAAAGTTTATAACTCAAATGTTCGAAAGTTGGGACTTACTATATTTACCAAGAAAACTATACTCACAACTTACTTAAAAATGTTCTAATCTAGTTCTATATAACTGCATTAGATTAAGCGGTTGGGTTTGAGATGAAAAAAAATCTTAGTCTATTATATCAGCAAGAACAATGTTTCGAATGTATCTGTATGGATTGGGATAGACCTATATTCACATTCTTTGGTGACACTTACTTTGTATTTGTCTCCTTCATTTTTAGACTGCAAGAACTGTTTGCTCATTTCTTGCGTTAAAACAGAAACAGGATTATCTACCTGAAACAAAAGATCAATTTTTAACACTTCACTTACGCCTTAAAGGTAAATAAACTGAAGTCCACAATGCTGTAAACGGTAGTGCCATCAAGACAACTACCAGGCCCTCGAAGGAGACAGCACAAAAGATGAGATGCCTTACAACTGTGGGAGGGATGGATGCTCCTGCTGTGAACCAGGCCTAAAGACCTAAAGGCCAAACAAATGCTAAAAGAGTAGCACCTGGGATTGATATTCTAAATAGGTATCAATCACCTGGAAAGACCCAAGTGAGTCACTAGCCCAACCCCCAACAGAAAGAGACCCTGTCCTGCCTTCCAACCCCCAACAGGAAAAGACCCTGTGCCATATTCATGCCCGCTTGCTATGGGTGACTCGCTTTCCCATTAGATACTGGATTTAATCAGATTTACCTGAGCAATAGTGCTTATAATCCCATTGGTTTGTCCCACCTCCTGCCCACCTAAGCGAGTTCCCATTCTCTCTACCTTAGCCCCAAATGGTTTTACACTTTTATAAAGTCCCTGGAAGAGACAGCTTCCTGGGGAACTACCCGCTCAGGCCCCCCTGTCCCTCTCTTGGACAGGAGCTTTCTTTCTCTTCATAAATACATTCTGCTCATTTAAAAAAAAGAAGTCTAAGCACTAGCCAAAGGTTGTGACACTAGGGTAAAACAAAGAGGAAATGTTAGATTTTTAAATGTCACAGAATTTCATGATACTGTACCAAAATAAACAGTACTATTAAATTCCAATGTTTAGGGGCTGGAGAGATGGCTCAGTGGTCTAAAGCACCTACTTGAAACAAGCTTGGCAAAGCACAGGGACCTCGGTTCGATCCCCAGCACCACATGCCAGCCAGACCCGCCCCCTGGTGGGCTGAGCTGGCCACACACACACAATAAATAAATGTAATAAATAAAAATAAATAAATATTTTTTTAAAAAAAGTGTTCTTCTAAAAAAAAAAAAAATTCCAATGTTTAACATTAAAGAAGGGCACAAGCTGAAAAACAATCAGAAGCCCCAACATCTGATGGATTTTCACTTTTATCTGTTTTCACAGATGACACAGGGAAAAGTCTGCAGCACCACTGCTACTGTCCTGGGCTCTGCCCCCAACCTCCTAGGTACCTTGGACCAGTTACTGAGTTTTTCCAGCTATACCTGAAAAGTCCAGTTCAGTTATTTCTAACCCAATTATATTAACAAATGTTATCAATTTTTCTTACAGCAGTACACTAAGATTTCCCATGTGTCTTTATTACTCCATGAAGATATGGTAAAACAAATGGAAAAAATTAAACAATTTCTATTTTTGGAGACTCGTTTCCAATAAGCCATTCCTTGAATTAAACTACCTAAACTATTAAAGTACCACAGTTGGAAAACAGAGAAACAAGAGAATTTGTTTCAAAAATTCAGAGTTATTAATCAGTTACATCTTTAGTACCAGTAACAAAAACCAATTTACATGGTAAAAAACTTTTCATAGTTACAGACCATCTGGGGTCAGTATATACAGAAAAAATACCTTTAAATCCTTTAATTTTTACTATCTTTAAATTAACAACTATATAATCTTTTTGTAAACCAATGGTTAAAACATTTCCTTTAAGTAAAATGTTGAGTCATCTCTTCTAAGATAATAAAATTTATGCAATTATAGAAAATTTTTACATTCTGTATCTTAAAATTTTATACACTGACTCTGATTGCTACATTTTTTTCAGTAAAATAGTTATTCAGCTTCTTGTCATGCCAAAATGTTCTGTGCATATACCACTATAATTAGCATAATCTCTGTAACAGGCAAAATTTACATGAAATTATGTCATAATACCTGATTACATAAAAATGCAAGATGAAAATGATTTTTCAATTCCTTTTAACATTTCTAATAATTCAGTAAGAGATACGAGGTACAAAATCTTAGTAAAATATGACACAAGAGCAGTAATACAATTCTCACTTAAATTTAACTTGTCATAATTTGTTATGAATATAGAAAGACAACAAACTTAAAACATTGTATTTGCTAAGATTCGGGCAATAGCTTTATGTGACAAGATACAGCATATCAGGTCTGCCACTCAACTTGTTCATAAGTCTCAGCTCCAATATGAAGTTATTTAAAACACAAACTGAAAACTAGCTTTTTCCATGTCAAGTATCTTGGCAAGGGTGCCATTAAACATAGTAATGAACTTGAGACAGTATAAATAAGAGTTAACAAAAGCTAAATATTGTGGCTTGAACAACATTCATACAAAAAATAATGTATCATAGGTTACATAAAATTTTCCTGACTGGTTAAAATGCAACAATGTAAAACACCCACTTTAGAATCTTTAGCTATTAAGTTCAAAAAGTACCAGTGTCTACATGAAACAATTTCTCTCCAAAGCAGAAGTAGGGTCAAAAATTAATTAAAATGACATAACACATTCTAAAGCTAAAAAACATTCAGTTTTTGTTGATGTGGAGGTATAAACTCAGAGCTTGGGGGCTTTATCATGCTGCAAACGGCTATTTCTCTGGTTCACTCAAAGCAGCAGATGACAAAGTATACAAATGCCATTAAGCTCAATAAAGAGGCAAGGGGGCTTGCACCCAGCTGACCTCCCCAGGAAGCATGGCTACTGTGTCTACAAAAGTAGGTGTGAGGACCAAAGGCACTATTCTGCTAGCTAAAGAGATAGAAAACCACCTCTCCCTCCACTCTAAAAGCTCCTTCCTGAGGTAAATAAAAAGTATACAAGGGGAAAAAATTGAAATACACTTACCTACAGAGTAAGAATTTCAAAATATTAATGTAATCCCTACTTAAAAACTTTTAATTAGAGTCATCTGACCATTTCTGATTACATCTTAAGATGTATCCAGATTCATTTCCTACTGATTTATCACTACATACTTCTAGTCAAAAATACTAGCTTTCTTTCTTTCTTTTTTTGCAGAACTGGGGATTGAACTCAGACCCTTGCACTTGCCAAGCAAGCTCTTACTCTGCTGAGCCATCTCCCCGGCCCCAAAAATATTAGCTTTCTTCCCTAATATTTTAACCACAAGTATGACTACAGTGTTTTATTTCCCAGGTTATCATGCAGTGGAGGAGAAAAGGAGATATTCAAGCAACAAGCAACAATTATGGCCCTTTCACATAGCGGCTTTGGAGTACCTACTGAATAGTCCAACAACAATTCTAAGAAGAGGAAAATTCATGCATGTTAATAAATACATCGTAATTTCATAGTTGAAATTTCTTTCGACATTGCACTTTCTCCATAGGGGAGTCCTGGTTCTTGTTTATGTTATGGTGACTCAGGACTTAACTAGCAGCCTTCTTTTTCTTCTGTTTCTTATGCTTCTTTTTCTTTTTTGTTTTTGTCTGCTGCTTTTCTCATTCTTCGGTGCTTTCTTCTTTGTCGCTCATATGTCTTCAGTATGATCTGATTCTGACAAGGACTCAGATGAAGAAGGTTTATCTTCAACATATATCTTTCTTTTCTTGCTAAGTCCTTTAATGTCCTTTTCTTTCTCAGTTGCATCCTTTGACTTCCTTTTTTTTTTAAAAAACTATCCTTACTGTCTGACAGGGAACTTTCAGAAGATTTATATGAATGGTTCTTTTCTTTGTCCTTTTTGATTGCTTCTTTTCCTCATCCTTAACAGTCTGAAGAACTGTTGGAAGAATTAGAGCTCAATGAATAAGATGAATACCTACTAGATTTCTTCTTTTCCTTCTTGTCTTGAGGAGCTCTGATTTCCACTTAATTTCTCTCTGTGCTTTTCTAATTGTTTCTTCCAATTCTCATTCATTTTTTCTTCAAATTCAGCCAAAGCCTTAGAGCCTTTTTCTTTTCTAGTTGCTCTTTCACTTCTTCCCAGGTAGGCCTGGGTCAATTCAGATAATCCTGGATGGTTGGCCCTGAGGACTGGATTCAACCTCTTGATCTGGTCATTGCCATTGGATTCATGTAGGCTACCTGATTGTCCCGTTTCCCCATGGTACTGGATGGAGCACCCAGTTAACACTGTGAAAGCCAGACCAGGCTACAGAAGCAGCTAAAACAGGTCTGCCCCTGATCCTTCTCTACCATGTTTTTTATAGTGCCTCCTTACATCCTAATTTCACATTGAATTGGCTTCTTAAAAGTAAAACCTTATGTGCCAACTTTCACAACAGACATGTTGGCACCAACTCTGGATTAAGTACAAGTCATTTCTCTACACCCTTTTGATTATTAAAAGACGTTTTTGGTCCTTTGCAGCTTTAACTGTTGGGACCCTGAACAAAGGAAAGTTAACTTCACACAAAGGGTAAGAAAGAGAGGCACAGGCAACATATGTATTCAGGTACCTAAAGGCATGATATACTCTCCTCCCAGTTACTTCAGACCAGTACTAGCTAATGGAAAAACAATGCAAGCCACATACACTAAGGTCTTTTGGAGCCATAATAAAAATGAAAAGATATAAATAATGTTAATAATATATTTAATCCAATAATACATATCTAGTATATTTACATATTATATATTTACTATTCTAAACATTATTCCTTTAACATGAAATCAGTATTAAAAAATTAAGCTATGCCTTAAGTCTCCAAAATCTAGCACCTGTTTACTATCACAGCAGGCCCCAAACAGAAAGTTGTGAGCACTCAGTAACCATGCAGACAGCGGCCTCCACACTGGACAGTGCAGCTCCAGGCCAGCCATATTTTGACCAGTGAACCTGAATCATTAATTAGGAGTGAATTAAAACACACAAGAAGACAACTAAAAGTAATGATTAAATAATCTTCAAATATTTCAAGACCAACGGTCTTGTATTCTCCAAAGAAGTAGGAGTTTAGGCAAATAGGCTTTATTCAATCTTCCAGAAAGTAAAAACTTTCTAATAAACACAGCTGCCCAGTAAATGGGTAAAACCCTCAGGAAGAGGCAAGTTCCTGCCATTAGTCTTTGAAGTCTTCCCTTCAGGGTCACCTGGTGAAAAGTCTACACGGGGTATGTGTCTGTTGTGAACATACTGAGAAGACCAGCAAGACTTCTAATGTCCCCCAACTCCATAAACTTCAACTTTTGGGTTTTCTCATTCTATGTAAGTGTCCTGCAGTCTAGGCTAAAACATATTGCCTACAAGATGCTCCTCTCCCGATTTAACAAGTATTTTTCCTAAACATGGGAACCCACTTGCCACATATGGTTTTTCCCACACAAGTGACATGAAATACAATTGGAATTTCAATTTCTCAAGTCATACACTCAAGTGATCAACAGCCAAGTGGCTAGTGGCTACCCCATGGGACAGCACACAGGACATGCTAACCATTTACAGAAAATGGTTCTGGTCAGCTTTTTTCAGCATCAAACTGGGAAAGAGATTCAAACTGCTACTTTTTCTTTTTCTTTGATTTGTAGTTTTAATATTCTTAATCCTGAACACAAAGTTTAAAATACTAGAATTAATCAGGGATAACTGGATTCTAATCTGGGCTCAACCAGTAACCACATCTAGACAAACCATAGTATAAATTTACATTTCTTAACTCCCAGTTTCTAACAAATTGATATTTTTTATAGAACTTGACAATAGTAATAATAGATAATCTCCCAGTGGTCAAATTACTCACAAGGTATTTTAATTGTTTATACACACACGTGAAAACCACAGCAAAAAACAACCAGCTGCATATTTAGCAATTACCTGGATGTTAAAATGATCAAGAACTGCAATCAGCTCTTCTTTCTTAGTAGAAACCACAGCACCTAATTAAGAAAAATAGATTAAATTGATGAGATTATTTCTAGGGCGATATAAAAAAATCCCATACAATTAATATATTAACCACGAATATTAATTATGCTCAAGCATTGTAGTCAATTCTTCTAGTAGAAACCATGGTGCTGAGGGTGGAGAAACATAAAATAACCACACTTTCTAGGACAGTAACAGAAAAAATGGACAACTACCTATAAAATATAATTAGTTGCCTTTTATTGGGTATCACAAAGAAAGCACCACTAAACACGCTTCAATGTGAATGAACTAGGGTGACATTCCAGTCATGGCATAGAATACAGAGGAGAAAAGTGGCCAGGTACAGAAATAGCGCATACTTTTTCCCATAGCTACAGGGCTTACTTTGCTCCTCACCTATCTCCTTTTGAATAACTCTGAATACTTTTCTCTTCCTTTATGTCCTTTCCTATCCTTTGCTATCTCCATAAATGCTAGATGTTACATAGGTGAAAGGAGGTTTATGTCTTCAAATAAAATGCCTCTCTATCTCAAAGTGCCCCAATTTGTCTAATCATGGTGTTGCTACTGGAGACAACTCTACGTAATGTATACATGTATCAACATATGTGTGCATATATACACATACAACTGACTCTGTTAAATAAAAGAGGTTTCAAGAGACTGGGAAGATGTACCTTTTCAGCAGATATCACCACAATCACTTAACTCTTGAGTAATCATCGACTTGGTACTTTGTGTTAAATGATACAAGAAGATGCAGTGAGTACCAAACTGTTTTAGTGGTTAAGTCACAAGACAATCATACCAAGTTCTAGTTTGTGTGGTGAGTAAACAAATAAGTATCAAATTTCTGCATCAACATTCAATGAATATCAAATTTGATGGACTTCAAAGTTGTAGAGTATTAAGTTATGACTGCATATGAAATGAAAAGAAAATCAAAACAAACCTGTCTGACTTTTTAGTTTATAGGACCGACTTCCATCCACGCTGATGTGCTGCTGCACAACTATGGAGTCACCATACACATTTGCTCTGTAGGCATCATCTCCTCTGTTCCTCAATGTGACTGTAATATCTGCTGAGCTAAAATGACAAGGTGAAGTTACCAGATTCAAATATCCTCTGAAGCCCCTAATAATCTGGCTCATCCATTTAAAACCTGGCCTTACAGCCATAGCTGATGATCAACAATTGACCAGAGAGCAGTAATGATACTGCAAATGTCCAAATAAATTTGAAAACAGAACCCCTAGGAAAAACATTCTATCTGTAAAAAAAATGTAATATTCACATAAATACACACATCTTTGGTTGTTTCAAGTTATACAGTTCAGTGAGACATTTGTCTACAACTGTGTAATGAAGTCATTAAGTACATTTTCCTCTAAGGACCACAGAATCAACAATATACTGCCTGACTACTATGATTCACATAATAAAATATACCAACAGTAGACATTTAAAGATGATGAATTATGAATTATGGCACAAAGGGCCAGCAGATAGCTCAGGGCGCTAAGTGCTTGCTTAGGCAAGCACAAGACCTGGATTCGATCTCCAGCATCACATGCTGCACCAGACCCACCCCCAGGTACACTGAGCCAACCACTCAGACCAGGCGTGGTAGCACACATCATAATCCCAGTGCTTGGGAGGCTGAAACAGGAGGATCACTACCAATCTGAGCTGCATAGTGAGACCCTGTACCAAATTTAAAAAAAAAGAATTACAGCACAGTAATAACATTTTCAAGAGGATTAGAATTTAGGGAGGTCAATCCCGGTTCCGCAAAAAAAAAAAACAGAATTTAGGGAGACAATTTTTTCAGTTAGTTGGCAATTTAAAAAAACGAGCTGGACACAATTGGCATATGCCCATGATCCCACCACTCCCCAATGCTCTGGGAGACTGAAGCAGTAGGATCACAAATTTGAGCCCAGTCTGATAACTAAGGAACTTATTAGGGCCCTGTCTCAAAAATTTAAAAAGGTATCAGGATGTAGCTCAGTGCAAAGGGCCTGAGTTCAATCCCTAGTGTGACACACATACACACTCCTTGTAAAAGGATCTGATTACAAGAAACATAAACTGGGGAGTATGCAGAAGGTAGGAAAAGGTTAAGTAATGGATATTAGGTTATAGTCAGACAGAAGTAGTTCTGGTGTGCTACTGTAAGGGATATTAAGGTGACAGTGATACATTATGTATTTCAAAAGACTACAAGAAAGGATTTCAGGAATATTTGCCATAAAGATATAATCAGTTTCTTAAAGTGTTATTAGTATTACAAAAGATTTTAATATAGTATAAAATGAAACCAAAACACATAACTATTAAGAATATAGGGGTCTGGGGAGATGGCTCAGTAGAATAAGCGCTTCCCTGGAAAGCGCAAGGGCCTGAGTTCAATCCCCGGTACTGGAAAAAAAAAAAAAAAAAAAAAAAGATTATAAATCTGCCTACTAGCTTCTAATATAGTTTTTATATTTTAAAAAGTTTAAGGTATTACGTATATTTTATGGTATTATGCAAAAGCAATCTTCATTTGCCTACTCTAACTTACATTAAAATAAGACTTGTCAGAGGGCCAGCCAGATAACTCAGTGGACTAAAGCGCCTACTTGGGCAAGCACAGGGACTTTGGTTTGATCCCCAGCGTGCCAAGCCAGCCCCAACCCTGCAGTGCGCTGAGACAGCAATAGAGACTGGGCATGGTGGTGCACACCTGTAATCCCAGTGCCTGGGAGGCTGAAAACAGGAGGATCACTGAGTCTGATCTGTGTAGTGAGACCCTGTAGACCCTGTACTAAAAATACAAAAAAAAAAAAACTTTCCAGAAAAAATGTTGGTGAAAGATATTAAAAAATGCATATGTCCTTAAACAAAAGCAGAATTATTTTCTTGACTCATGATCATCTGCCCAAAAATCTTCTGAAATGAAATTTTTCATTAGCAATTAAGTGAAACCTTTAACATTACAACTTGTTTTCATCAATTTGTTAACATACTCCAAAACTTCCCCTTTATAGGAAGTGTAGGAAAAAAAAATCATCAGGTTAAGTCTCACACTAAATCTCTGATGTGACAGTGGATGCAGGAAGCGTCTGTTCAGCTCTATCCAGACACCTTGGCAACAGCGGCTCAGCATCCTCCTCTGTACAAGGAGCCACAATCAGCACTCCACAGCAACTGAACAGTTAGGCCCTATTCTGGTCTTAAATCTACATCAGGAAAAACTGGTAAAATCCTAAAATAAGTCTTGAGTTTACTCAACTGCGTTGCTTTGTTAACCTTAGTTATGGTAAGATACCAACCTTAAGGCAAACTGGTGTGAGAACATACAGGAAACTTTATCTTTATAATACTTCTATAAATCTAAGACTACTTCAAAATAAAGTTTCTTAAACTTCAAGTTTAGAAATGACCAAGTCAAGAGATGGTGATTCCTTAGAGCTGTAAGTTACGAAGTGTCTGCAACTAAAGAACTTGATCGGAGCATTAAACTCTGATGAGGAAATATTCCATAGAGAAAGGCAGGAGCATTGGAGAAATAGCAGGAGCTCTTGGAAAAAAAACACTCAGACAGAAAATAGCCACAAACCCACAGGGATCAGCAGGGAATCAGAAACCTAGAAAACACAAGATCAATACTTTCTTCTATACCACCAGGCTAAGACAGTGAAGCATAAATGCCTATACACTGGCAGACATAGTGACAGAGACTAAGGTGATGAATAGAAAGGACTCACTCTGTCCTCTAAAAACAGTGAGAGACAAAACAGTTATACACCTGCACATCCATTGAGGAAGAGAAGGAGAGCACACAGCGAAATACAGCCAGCAGGAGAGAAGAGTGCAAAAGGCGGAACAGAGGAAAAAACCATGGAACAGACTCAAGAAGGGAGAGGGAGACAGAGCCCAAGACACACAGCCAGGAACACGAAGATCCAGAGATAGCCTTGGTGGTTCAGCTTGTGAAACCCACTTGCCTCTTTATAAAACAACACCCTTTTCTAGACCTACCTTGAGTAGAATTTTTTTTTCTTCCAGCAAAATTATTTAATTAAAAGATATGGTCCTTGAAAATTGTAGTACAATTTTTAGAAGTTTCCCTGAACAGACTCTATAAACATCTAAAGCTCAGAATCATTAACTATATAACAAGGAAAAGGGGAAAAACCTGAAATACACAGCAAAAAATTAGTTCATTCATGACTATGACTACTCAGAATTAACATACCTCATAAAAAGCATTTAAAAATAACCACAGGGACTAGTGGGTTAGCTCCGTTGTTTAAAGCACCTTCTTTAGCAAAATCAGTCACAGGTGAGGGACTGCAGTTCGATCCCCAGCACCACATGCCACACCAGAACTGCCCTTAAGGTAGCCTGAGCCAGCCAAAAAAAAACAAAAAACAAAAAAAGAATCCTAAAAATAACTATCCATATTTGCTGCTCTCTCAGCATCACCATACATGCCTCTTGACCAACAAATGTCACTTTATTATCTTCACCCCTACTGCTCCCTGCATTTCAGAGCTACTTTTAGGTTTTGTGTGTGTGTGTGTGTGTGTGTGTGTGTGTGTAGGGTCTCACCATGCAGCTCATAGTGATCCTTCTGATTTCTGTCTCCCAAGTGCTGGGATTACAGGCATGCACCACCACACCCAGACTGCACTGCAGGCTCAGGTGCACCCTGGGGCGGGGCCGGTGTAGCATGCAGCACCAGCGATCAAACCCTGGTCTCTGCACTTACTTAAACAAGCACTTAGTCCACTGAGCTATATCGCCGGCCCTCAGAAATAACTCTAGTAGGTAACTTTAGTAAGAACTTTGGAGTACTGCTACCCTGCTATGTAAGTTTAATAGCTAAGAAAAGTTCTTCAAAAATCATCATTACAAATTAAGTCTAATAACTGCTCAAAAAACACATCAAATGAAACTTAAAACAGACAGGCACAAATGCACAGGGAAATGACTCTTGCCTCTCCTCTACACTGACGTGGCCTTTGCTGACACTAAATTTGGGTCAAGAGCCAAAGTCCTACGTCTGTAACAGTGAGAGTTCTTTAGGGGAAAAAACTCCATAAACAAGCAGTGCCACAGTCAAAATTTGGCTTCTTAATTCCAAAAATACGGCTCTGCAGAGTAGCTGACACTCCCACATGCTGATGGAAACAAAAAACAAGGAAAAAACCCATATAAAAGTGTGATGCCTCTGTTCCTTCTCTGGGTGGCCAGCTTAAGATGAGTTCTGTATCTTTAAACAGTTAAAATCAAGAATACACAAAAAAAAAGTATGAGTTTTTGTCCCTCCATAACTTTCATGCCACTCTGAATGTCACAAACAGGACTACTGCCTACATCCCAAGAATATCAGGCCGGTTTCAGAAAGTCTGAGAATGAGAAGAGAAAACTCAACATGTTTAGGGACAACCTAAAAAGCAAGGAGCACAGGACCTCACATCTCTGAGAGATATCCATGGGAAGAGGTCCATTATGAGAACACATTTCAGGATCTCAGGATAAATCCTGAGGGGATTTCACTGACCTTATCAGACCCAAAAGCTACAACTCTTGTTGCGTAGGTCTTGCTTT